GAATTAGGAAGATGGAGTTGGAGAGGGGAGCTGGGAATAGCTCATTGAAGGGATTGTTGACATTTTTAATTTTTGATTTTTAGGCAGAGTCCCAGTAATTGGAGTGTGGAGAAAAGATTTGAGAAGGTTACCCTTGGTGGCAGGAAGATTGTTGCAACAGGCTTAGTGAGAAATAACTAGGCCCTTGACTAGACTATATTGCAGATGGATACAAGTGTGAGAAATATTTAGGAAGTGCATTTTGTAAGAGTTTGTGATTGATTAGCTAAGTGTGGCTTGGTGGTTGGATGTCGACCTATGAACCAGGGGGTCATGGTTCAGTTCCGGGTCAGGGTGTGTCCCAGGGTTTTAGGTTTGGTCCCCAGTGTAGGGAGTGACTAGTCAGTGATTCTCCCTTATCATTGATGTCTCAGTCTCTCTTCCTCTCACTTCCTCTCTGAAATCAATAAAAAATATATTGAAAAAAGAGAACTCCATAAAGTACAGAAAAGAGAACAGTTCTTCCTGGAAATGGGTCAGGTGGCTTTTGTAGAGGTGGTAACATTTCAGCCAGCAGAGTAGAATGGGGAAGTGCATTTCATTCTGTGTCAGTAGCACGGACCAATGTGTGGAGGTGAGAGGGTTTTTGGCAATGTTGATGAGTTTAGGAGTTTGGGAGACTGGTAGGGGAAGGTCGTTTGGAACTTTGTTGAGAAGAACTTTCATGTCATGCTCCTCTCTAGTTGGTGGGGAGCTGTTTTAAAATTGTGCAAATGGGTGAGAGATGTGAACATGTCTGTGTTTTAATCTGTAACTGAGGAGGATAGATCGGAGGGGACATTGCGGGGACTTGTGAGGTGTTGGCAGTAGTACAGGTAAGAGGTAAGGGGCCAGTGTGTTTCTGAGACATTGGGAATGGAGGGATTGGGTTTCTGAGAAAATTTGAAAATACAATTGAGAGGATATGTTTATTGGTGTGTGATACCAGGAAGTCAGAGGGAAAACTATTTTGAGATTTCTGGATTGGAAAATTAAGGGAAGGATGATGCCATGAACCGTGAGGGGAGACTTAGGAAGAGGAAGGAGGTTTGGGTTATTGTAGGGCTAGGGAAGATGGTGATTTGTTATTGGGCATATTGAGCTTGTATTGCTTACTCTGTATGCCTCTAAAAGTTACCTTATAAACATTACCTTGCTTAATAGCCTGTAAATTTTGAATCTCCTTGTTGGATTTAGAGATCTCAGGATGGATTAGGGATGTCTGCTATGGTCAAAGGAATGTGAGCTGATAGCATTTAACACTTACTGAGTGCCTGATGTATGCCAAGTACTGTTTTAGGTACTGGGATGCAACAGAGAATAAAACAAAAAATCCCCACCCTTGTGGAACTAATGACCTAGTGGTTGGAGACAGGCCATAAAGAAAACATTTATGTGGTATGGTGGTATGTAGGAACTTATATTAAATATTTACTATTCCTGTTTAAGTTATGGAAGTTATGGGGTGAACAAGATTATCCAGGGAAAGATGGAGAAAGGAGGGATGGGGTCAGTTGGCCGCTCAGTGGGTTATCTGTAAAAATATGACTTTTCCTCATTCCAGTATTTGCCAAAAATGTGATAGTTCTACAGAAATGCCCCAACTTTAAAGATTTGCCGTTGTGTTGTAGGTGTTAAACCGCCTGACGTTTGCATCTACTCTTTCTCACCTGCGTCGTTTAAATTCTCCAATCGGTAGAGATGGCAAGCTGGCAAAACCGAGGCAGTTGCATAACACGTTGTGGGGAATGGTGTGTCCTGCTGAGACTCCAGAGGTAATGGATTAAAATTTGTGTTCAGAACAAAGAGTCTGCCAATAGTTATGTAGGATGTAATTACTTTCAGAGTGAGTTTTTATGTAATCATGCAGTGTGGCTTAGAACTAAGATAATTTTGTTCTTCGAAAGTAGTAAATCCTGAAGTCAAATTGAAGGAAAAGTGTCTATGGATATAATTTTGGTAGTTACGCTAAAGCACTGTGACTAATACTTCGTTTGTCATTTTAAGGGCCATGCTGTAGGACTTGTGAAGAATTTAGCCCTGATGGCTTATATTTCAGTTGGATCTCAACCTTCTCCAATTCTGGAATTTTTAGAAGAATGGAGTATGGAAAATTTAGAAGAAATTTCTCCTGCAGCTATTGCTGAGTGTGTATAGATGTAATTTTTTTTAGAAGCTATGATTAATCTTTGTTTATAGCTTAATATAGAGCGACTAAATGCAAAACGCTTATGGTTTTGTATTTCAGTGCAACCAAGATTTTTGTTAATGGCTGCTGGGTTGGAATACATAAAGATCCTGAACAACTTATGAACACTCTAAGGAAATTGCGGCGTCAGATGGACATCATTGTGTCTGAAGTAAGAGTCTTTAATTAAGAGGCCAGGATCTGTGGGATTTCTAAACAGGGCATAACTAGACAATATTATTTTTGTATTGGCGTCTTTCTTTAACTGGTTTCTGTTGCATTGTAAAGTACATTGTCAAAAGTGTAGGTAATGTTTTGATCTTAATTCAATAGGTAGTAGGTATTGCTTGCTCTAAGGCTTTAGATATATGCTTCTAAAAATTTGACGTGTAAATTTGCCGGAAGCCGGTCCATCCTTGCTGCTTGACACAGTCGCTGCAGGAAAGAAACATCTGCACAGCATATGTTTCAAGGGACCTGGCGTATATAGCATACTGTTCTTAATATGTTTGCTCCCCTTAGCGCTGTGTGTTTTAACCAAGGTCACCTCTCCGAGAAAGGTTGTTTCCCCAGTTAGGAATTTTTCCCTGAAGTCAGGGAGGGGATGAAACTCCTTAACTAAGTGCCAGGCGGGTAATCACTACAATCATGCTTAAGCTACATAATCTTTCCTCCCTGGAATGGAGATAAGAAACGCCCTAACCTTTGTAATAGAAATTGACAGGATTAAAATCAACTGGTATAAATATGGATGTAACAAGACAATAAACAGCAGAACTTCTCTGGAGATCCAGACCAGAACTTGGCTGGAGATCCTGGCTAGGCTGCTGATCAACTGAACGCTGTCTCCGTGTCATTCCTTCTTCGCCGACTCCGTCTACACCTTTGGGAACCCCTAGACCTGCTGGGGTTGGACCCCGGCATAAATTTAAGTTATTAAATTATATTTCAGAACTCAAATTATATTTTAAAGTAAAAGGAATTTTTTTGAGGATCTTTTTGTAAGGCCGGCAACAATGCTTTTAAAAGGAATAATCACACCTGATTCTTTGAATCCAGAAATTCATTCATAAAGAGTGACACACCTCTAATAGATTCCCATATTTAGGTGGGTATTGAAATGCTTTGGGATAAGGATGGATTTTTAAAAAATCATTAAAATATAGTATGTGTACTTTATTACTCTCCCAAATAGGACTTTTGCTTTTAGTGTACTGTATTAGGGATATGGCTCAGGCTTTTGATTCTTGCAAATCTACTCTTAGGGTTTGTCTAGTTTCGAAGGGAAACTATAATACACTTAAGGCAATAGCTGGCCATCTTTCTACCTAGCAAAGCAGAAAAGAGAGTTTGGTTCCTCCAGACTTTCTTCTAGAAGGCAGACACCTTAGGTTTTGACCCAGGCATTTCACAGCTTGAAGGCAGGAAGAGCATGTTTCATTTGAGGGCAGGCAGGGCTATGAGAAAGCCTAAGAACCAAAATTGGCTGTATTTTTATGATTGAGAACTTGGTTAATGCCATGTTTTTCTGCTGAAAGCCTCCTTTAGCTTTTCTGTATTCTCTGAGGTAAAGTTAGATTCTTCATGCTGTTTTAGGCCTTTTTACTTTCAATGGGCCCATTCCTTCAACCTGGAGTATTTCTGCTCCCTGTCCCCCAATGGCTCCTCAAAAACAGGCTGAAGGGAGGAGGGTTGCTTATTTTTTTTTTTCAGGTAAATCTCACTTATTCTGCAAATCATATATTAACACATCTCTTTCAGGATACCTTACCTGACTTCCCAGTTTGACTTAGATCAAGACAGACATTTTCTATAAAGGGCCAGATATTAAATATTTCAGGCTTTGTTTACCATACAGTGTCTGTTGTGTGTTCAATCCTGCTGTTGTAGTGAAAAGCAGCCACAGATAAAATGGGAACGAATAAAACTTTATTTACAAAAACACATGGCATGCGAGGGCAGATTTGGCCTGTAGGCTGTTTCCTAACCTCAACATTAAGATATCTGACTCACTCACTACACTATTAACTCCTCAGAGACAGGAAACATGTCTTAATGTGAATGTTATTTTCCACTCTGAGCATGGGGTCTGACATATAGTAGATGTTTTTTTTTTTTTAGTTTTTATTTCAGAGATGAAGGGAGAGGGAGAGAGAGATAGAAATATCAATGGTGAGAGAGAATCATTGATTGGTTGCCTCCCGCACACCCCCTACTGAGGTTTGAGCCCGAAGCCCCGGCATGTGAATTTAACCTGGACCCTTCAGTCCGTAGGCTGATGATCTATCCACTGAGGTCTGTTACTTTTTCTTTTCCTTCATATTTTCTGATAACCAGAAGTTCTCATTTTACCCCTTTGTAACTTGAATCATCTAATGGGCTTGTTGGGCTTTCCTGTCAGTAGTCCTCTGTATACTACTAAAGAACACCTGTTTCCTTTGGAATGTAAGATACTGTTTGGTCTTTGGGAGGACACGCTCATTTATGTCCTCCTGGTAAGTTAATAGAGCTATATTCTACTAGGAATTCTCTAAGGATTCAAGGCAGTGCATTGAAAGCAAGGTTTTTTCTGGGACTTGAGAATGCCACTCATGATGTTTTGCTCATAGACACAATGTTTCTCCTCAGATTGTTTTCTAAGGACAGGAAGTGGGCTAAGAGCTTGGAACATTTTCTGTTTATTGGCTTTGACTCTAGTTTTGAGGAACTTGATGTTTTTGATAAAGCTTATATTATTTTTACTATTGTTTTTAAACTGAGCAATCCAGATCTTTTCCTTTCTTAAATAGACCCAATCTTTTCTTTAATAAAGATATCCAGATGTGATTTCACTTTTTGAAAGTACTTTTATGGAGAAATAGCAATCTATTTTCCCATTTTTCAGATTTAGGCAGTTCACTTGAAAGTCTTTTTTCCTTTTGATTTTTTAAAAAATATATGTATGTGTACTTTAAGTTCCGCAGTGCTTTTAATAATTATTATATTCTTTATTGAAAATTTTTGATATTGTCTAGGAATATATTTTTAGCACTATCCAGTAGGAATATAATGTGAGCTACATAGTCATTTAAAATGATTTTTAGTTGCCATATTATAAAAGTAAAAGACAAGTGAAAATAACTTAAATAGTATATTATTTGACCCGGTACATCTAAAACATTAAAATTTCAACATATATTCAAAATGAGCTATATTCTTAATATTATTAATGGAGTTTTTACATTTTTTTCTGGGACTGCCTTTGAAATCCAGTGTGTGGTTTATTCTTACAGCATATCTCATTTCCCACTGGTCACATTTCAGGGGCTCAGTAGTGACATGTGGCTAGCAATTGACTACTGCATTGGACGGCTAGACTGTAAGCCATTTGTCTAAAGGTGACTGGGAGGAGTCAAACTTATTCCTGGGAAAGTATTGTCGGCAAAGTGATATGAGGCTGGTTATTGAAAGGTTACAGAGTGAAGTATATGTGATTATCAAAGAGGCAAAATAAAAAATTGTCATTTACTAGTGTTTGTGATACCTGAAACAGTTTTTTATTTTACTTTATCTTGCATGACATTATTACCAGATGTTATTGAGGTCTATAATGGCCAAGGTTAGATATTTATCCTTTATAAAATTTTACATTATACCTAGACTTTTAATGTATTAAATAATGATAATCTTTTAAGATTTGTCTTTTTTTTTGACAAGGGGGTACTCCAGGAATTCATTATGAGCTTTATTGTATTTATAGCTAAGCCTTAATGATAGAGAAAATAACAGTCTATGCGACTTTGTTTTTTTACATCTAGGTTTCTATGATCAGAGATATTCGAGAGAACAAAATTGAGATATATTTCACATGCCAGAATAGTCACTCTTTAAAAGTATATAGTTCAGTGGTTTTTAGTATATTCACAAGATTGTGCAACCATCACCACTGTCTAATTCCAGAATATTTTCATTGACCCAAAAAGAAACTATTCATAAGCAGTGATATTAAAATATGTATACACACACACACACACACACACACACACATATATTTTTATTGAGAGAGGAAGGGAGAGGGAGAGATAGAAACATCAATGATGAGAGTGAATCATTGATTGGCTGCCTCCTGCATGCTCCACACTGGGGATTCAGTCTGAAACCCGGGCATGTACCCTGACTAGGAATTGAATCCTGACCTCCTGGTTCATAGACGGACGCTCAACCACTGAGCCAAGCCAGCTGGGTGACTGATACATTTTTATTATAAAAAAATTCAAAAATATGTGCAATAAAAGCCCCATTTCATACTCTCCTATACTTGTTAACAATTGGATGCATATTCCTCCAGACCTTAATCAGTGTATTTATATACTAAACCCCTAACCACCACAAATAATTTTGTTAGAACAAAGCACAACACACTTAAAATATGAAACCACAGTCTGTTCTATGCTTTTGGAATACTCATTCTTAGATAGAATGCCTAGTTAGTTAAAAGAGTTCAGGAATTAAGGAAATTAAGAGAATTCTTTTTTTTTTTTAGTTGGCAGGATCTTGTGGTCAGTGGGGTAGTGGAATATGTTGATACTCTAGAAGAAGAAACAGTGATGCTGGCAATGACTCCAAATGATTTGCAAGAGAAAGGAGTAGCTTATTGTTCCACATATACACACTGTGAGATTCACCCATCAATGATTCTTGGTGTCTGTGCATCTATTATTCCATTTCCTGATCATAACCAGGTTGGTAGCCATTTTTAACTTATTTGTGAGGAATTGGGGGAAGTAGAATAAAAGTTAGAGATTAGTCTATAGTTTTTAAAGAAAAGCCTTTTAGTGAAAGGCTGTGAACTCTATAGAATCAGCATTTAACATGCTTATTCTTGTGTTTCACTGTTAGAAGCCATAACTAACTATTCCAAAGGGTCATCACTTATCTTTCAGAAACCCCCCCCAATAACTTTACCAATCCTTCTGATTTATGTCATAACCTGTAGAGTCTATTCCTTTAGGAGTAATTACAACTTTATTGATTCTGCTGTTCATTTCTACCTTTAGTCTCCTAGAAACACATACCAGTCTGCTATGGGTAAGCAGGCCATGGGAGTTTATATCACCAACTTTCACGTCCGTATGGATACATTGGCCCATGTTCTCTATTATCCTCAAAAACCGCTTGTGACTACACGGTCTATGGAATATCTGCGATTTAGAGAGCTGCCAGCAGGTATGTTTGGTTTTGTTCTACATTTTTTAAGTTCCTTTCATGCTTAAGGCACTTTTCTGGGTGCTTGGGAAGGTTAATAAAATACACATGACACAGTCTCTTTTTCCATGGAATTTATAATGTGGTGGGAAACATGAACACAATTAAATAAAAATGTAAACATGTCAGAAGTGTTATGACGGAGGTATAGGGTCCTTTGGTAGCGCAGAGGAAGGAAATGGTGTATTCTTGTTGAAAGTGTAGAGCCAATTTCATGGGAAAGGTAGCATTTTAGACTAAAGTTGGTGAAAGGATATTTGAATTTGAGAGAAGGTTTCAGCAGGGCCTAGATCCAGGAACACATGAGATCTGGGGACCGTCAGCAGTCGTGTCCTTTTAATATGACTGAAGTGTAAGTGCATGTGAGTAAAGCTTGGTCTCACAGTGTGCAGGAGAGCAGGTTGAATGTCATTTGGAGAATGAAGACCTTTTTGAGCAAGGAAGTAATACAATTGGAATTTTCTATTTGGAATATCATGTGGCACTCGTCTGAGAGTAGATCAGAGTCAGATACAGTATTAGCACAGAGGTAATTTAGAGGTTTTTGCCTCGGTCTAAGTGAGAAATGGTAAGGTCCTAAAGAAATGAAAAAGACTAAGAGGTGATACATGATAGAATACACTTGATAGGACTTGTTTACTGGGTGGATGTGGAGCAATGAAGAGATGGTTCCTGGCTTGGGTGAGCAAGGGGAGAGAGAGGTAGTATTAATAAAATTGGAGCACAGTAGAAGAAGGAAGAAGTTATAGAGGTAATATAAATTCAGTTTTTGACATGTTCATTTTGAGTTGCTCCCAGAGTATCTAAGAAATGATCTTCCAGTAGTGAGTTGCAAATATGGTTTTAAAGAAAGTCAAATCTAGAGCTGTTAAGTTTTTGATCTATTGATGGTAACTAGAGATTACTATGAAATTGCTGAGGTTAAATTCAGAGTTAGAATACAGCCAGAGACAGACAGAACGTTAGGCAGCAGGAAAGGAAATCGGGAGAGAGGCTTTGAGATGTAGCTGATAAAGAGGAGAATCAGGAGTTTGCTGGAGGAGATTCTCAAGGAGACTGGACAACAGGCAAAAGGGTGCAGAGAAGCTTAGGGCTGTGAGAGTGTTGAACATCAAAGGAGACAGCATACGTAGTTCTTTGGCACAGTTGTCTTGTATTATGAACAGAATTTTGTCTTTGAGGGTAACATTATTTATTTAATAAAGTGTGCCTTGTAAGTAGTGACTTTAAGTGATTAACTACAATAAAGGATCTAACATTTTGATAACAGATTCTCACAAGTTTGAGAATGATTTATTTTTAAAGTCCTCCACAAGGGGTTACTCTTGTCTACAAAAACAAAATGATAGGTTTTCTACAGTACACTCATGTCGTTGGGCTTACAGTGCAGTGTTTTCTTCAACATTTAGATAACTAGTTTCTCTATAGCTAGAGAAGAAAAGAAATATTACTAAAGGGTTGGATTTGAAATAAAATGTTCCTTTGGTACTGAGATGAAGTGTTGAGGGCATGGCTGGTAGGAACTATATGCCTTTCAGTTCTGTTATTATTTCATGCTTTAGTCATGTTATCTATTTTTAAAGCTTTTAAGTTTATGCCACAGGGTTAGTGTGAGAATCATGTAACTTGATTTGGGGAGATACTTTATAAATCTGAGGTAACTTTTATGTATAATCACTAATTATCAGAAAGGATACATTGGGAATGAATGCTCTTAGGATTTGCTTGTATTAAATGTTAAGCCATCAGAGTGGTTGCTCACAGATTGCTATTCCATGAGGAGTGAACTTTGACAATTACCATGGTGAAAACAACTGTGGCAAATATGGTGAAATAAAATTGATGTAAAAGAAAGGGGCAATTTTTCTTTGTTTCCCAGATGATGCTTTAATGTTTGCTCTTCAATGCACCACAGGTATCAACTCAATTGTGGCCATTGCATCATACACTGGATATAATCAAGAAGATTCCGTTATCATGAATCGTTCAGCGATAGACAGAGGCTTTTTCAGGTCAGCTATTTACAAAAGTCATCAAACACAGATGCAGTGGAAATACTAATATTTTAATAAAAAAACTTCTCTAAAAATAGGTTTGACTTTTATATGTTCAAACTTTTTGGTGATTTTGAAGGTCAGGCTGGAAGAAATTTTGATCTGACAGCAGATAAATTTTTCTGTTAAGATACCTAGCCTTTTGCCTCAATTCACGAAGCTTAGTGGCAATCTGGCAGGTACATGCTGTTGTGCGGATGCCTGTGTAGAGGTTTGTGTGGTGAAATCTATGCCTTACTCCAGAAAGCAGAAGGCCTGGTTGATGATCGTGAACAACTGAAGACACTGCTTCCTGTAGCTCAGGATTTTCAGATGCTAATATTTTGACCCCACCCCCAACTCTTTTGTAAGCAAATAACATGTTTGCATTTAGTTAATATAGAAACATCTAAGAAGTAAATATAAGCCTATAATCTTAGGACCATAAATAACTGTTAAAATTATTATGTATTTTTTTTCTTTTTTTTAATTGCTTAAAGTATTATTATGTATTTTCTTTTCAACCTTCTTTTCTGTGATGCTGTTATGTTATTAACAAGCAATTTCAAATCCACAGCATATGAAGATTGCTTAAAAAACTGGGAATTTATAAGAGGATGGATTTTGTGTGTGTGTGTGTATGTGTGTGGTTTCAGAGATAGCACTAGGACTAGGGGGTGAAAATTATAGCTTAATATTTCACAAACTTTGCATTTGAACTACTGGAACAGATCTTGGGTGACCATCTCTGGAGGCCCTATGGAAGGATTCTTATTTTGGGTAGGAGGTTGGACTCAGTGACATTAGATCCTTCCTGTTCTTACATATAATTCCAGCTGTGTTCAGGTTATTGGTCAAGTGCTACATGTATGACCCATGTGACAGCATTTAGGACTTAACTTTTACTCATAATATAGTTAAACTAGAAGCCCATTGCACGAAGATTCGCGCAGTAGGCCTTCCTTCCCCTGACTCGTACTGTGTGTGTCCTGTCCCTCAGTTTATGTATTGGCATGGGAACTCCCTCCTCTCTTCACATTGTGGTGTGACCATATTTGTCTAGTCACAGTATTTGTATACATTTAATAAATAAATGAGACAATACCTAGCCTTTTTTTTTATTTCCTAAAAACTCAAAGTTCTTTTTTGTAGTTGTCACTATTTTCACGGACACCTAAAAAATATGTATATAATTAAGTAAAAATTATTGGTATATTCTAAGTCTTATTATTAGAGGAAAATAGAAGTTACCTTCAGAACTATGTGTTTTTTAGGTCTGTTTTCTATCGATCATACAAAGAACAGGAGTCTCAAAAAGGATTCAACCAAGAAGTTTTTGAGAAGCCTACACGTGAAACATGCCAGGGTAAGTTATACTGGCATTTAAATTATGGAATTCAAAGTTAACTTAGCATGGTTTTCCTAATTACTTTTTCTAGGGTTTGTTCTCCCCCCCACCCCCCCACCGCCCCTTTCATTTTTTGCCACATGGGAGTATATTTTTATGTCATTCTTAGAACTCATATTTAAGAGACTAGTGCTTTTTAGAGTTCAGAATAGTTTATAATACTTGAAACTAGAGGTCCTGGTGCACGAATTCATGCATGAGTGGGGTCCCTCAGCCTGGCCTGCGGAATCAGGCTGAAACCAGCTCTCCGACATCCCCCGAGGGGTCCTGGATTGCGAGAGGGCGCAGGCCAGGCCAAGGGACCCCACTGGTGCACAATTGGAGCCAGGGAGGGACGCAAGAGTTTGGCTAGCCAGGGAGGGACCATGGGAGGGCTCCAGGGCATGTCCAGGCCCGTCTTGCTCAGTCCCAGTCAGCCAGACCCCTGCAGTAAGCTAATCTACCGGTTGGATCATCTGCCCCCTGGTGGTCAGTGCACGTCATAGCAAGTGGTTGAGTGGCTTTACATATCATTAGCATATTATGCTTTGATTGAATAGACAACCAGACACTTAGCATATTAGCCTTTTATTATATAGGATAAGAGTATTAATTATACTAGGGGCCCAGTGCACGAATTTGTGCAACTTGAAAGGAACTGTGGGCCATGAGGCTAGGGTGGGCACAGGGGTGCGTCTTGGCCCATCCTCTGCACCCCCACCTGGCCCCTCCCACCACAGCCCCCGGTATCCTGTCTGCTGGCAGCCCAGCTCCTGACACCGCTGCTCCCACATGCTGACGAAAACTGGCCCCACTCACTCCCGCTGATGGCACAGAGCGATTGGGTGGGGCTGGCACCAGCAGCGGGTACGAGTGGGGTCGGCACCATCAGTGGGTGTGAGTGGTGGCTGCTGCCCTAATCGCCCTTAGGAGCAGGGGGAGGTGGAGAAGCTCTCAGGGGCTATCAGGGCCAGCAGCCGCTGCTTGCACCTGCTGCTGGTGCTGGCGCTGCCGCTCGTACCCGCTGCCAGTGCCAAGTGATAGGGGCTGGCACTGGAGCCAGCAGTGGGTGTGAGAGGCGGCTGCCAGCCCCGATAGCCCCTCAGAAGCTGGGGAGATAGAGAAACCCTGAGAGGCGATCGAGGCCAGTAGCCGCTGCTCGCACACGCTACCAACACCCAGCAGTTGGGTGTGGGCTGGCGCTGGCAGCAGGTGCAAGTGCCAGGTGGGACCGTGGTGCATGGGAGGAAAGAATTTTCAGTAACCACCAGAGACTCACCCTAATGACAGCGACTGGCGCCCTGCCTTGGTCTGGTGACCCTGTTCGCCTCCACCATCCCGCTGCGGCCCATGCCCACCACGTTCCGCGCTCTGCTTCCTGCTGCCAACTCTTGCCATGTTCTGTGCATGCCCCCTGGTGGTCAGCACACATCATAGCGACTGGTTGTTTTGCTGTTCGGTCTTTTTGCATATTAGCGTTTTATTATATAGGATGGTCATGGTGAGTCACGAAATTTGTGCACGGGGGGCCGGGGTCTCCCATCTTAGCCTGTGCCCTGTCACAGTGCAGGAGCCCTGCGATAGATCGCCCCACAGAGGTGGCCCGGAGCTGGGGGTTCCGCCTCCACACCATGTGGAGTCGGGATGCAGGTGGAGTCGGGACTCCCAGGCAGGCTCCATGCCCGCAGGCAGCGTCAAGCCCAGCACTGCCCACCTGCAAGCGCCCACTGTGTGCGCAGCCATCTTGTGATGGTGTGAGGGCATCAAGGCATGAGGACTACTTAGGCTTTTATTAGTAAGGATCAGAACTGTTTAAATGTTGCTTTCTCAGGGAGCCTTCCTAAACCAACACTATCTAAATAGGTTCTTCCCTATTTTCCTCTATCCTTATGTCATGTTATTTGTCTTGTGTGCACTTCATATTTTCAGTTAATCTAAAATCCTCTGTACAAGTTACATCATTTAGCTCCTGGCTATCAACTCCTCACATCCCAGTTTCTATGACTCCCCACTGTGCTCACATCTTCTCAGCAATTTCCTTCCTGGTCCCAGGGTGCACCCGGGAGGGAGGATCTTCTACAGAGCACAGCTGCAAAGTTTGCTCCTAAGTTTCACCAGGTCTCTTAAATGTCACCAAACCCAGACGGCCTTCCTTTACTATCATACTTCACATGCTCTCCTGGACGCAGTCTTATTTTTCTCACTGGCACTTATAGTTGTACTAGTATATGTATGTGTTCAATGTGCGACTCCTTCATTACCATGTAAACTCCATTAGAACTTTATCTGCTTTGTGCATTAGTACTGCCACATTGCTTAAAACAGTGCTTGCCATAGGCTGTCACTCAATACTTATTTGTTGAATCAATTAATTCTTCGCTTATTATCTGTTTCTCCCACTAGACTCTTAAGGGCCATAAAAGCAGGAACATTGTTTCTGGTATTCCTACAGCAT